ACCGTAGCCGTCACCACCACTTCAAACAAATCAGCCCATCGCAAAAAAAAATAAAATTATTACAGACACCACCACGACCACAGATCGGGACACCAACATCGCATCCATAGCACCACAACCGCACCCTTCAACACCGCCACCGTCAGCACCACCACCACCAACTAAAAACACCGCCACCATTTACAAACCACCACCACCAACTACCCTAACCCGTCACTCCAGATTTTCACCTCATTTTCCACCACCACCAGAAACGGCACATATGCCCACCACCATCACCGCCCAAAAACCATCACAAACGACACCACCAACGACTAAAAACTAGATCACCCAAACCATCGCAGCCATAAATCGACAGTTGCTGCAACTGTGATGATGCGCCGCTACAGCTACGTCGTTAAAAAGGACCGCCGCTCATATCGCATCGGCGACAACATTCTCTTCGTGGCTGCAGACGACTCTTGCGTTTGTCGATGGGTAGTGGAGTGCATCGATTGTCGCTGTAGAAACGACGTTAGCTCAGTTCGCAGCTTCGTGGCTAGCGTGCAGAGAGGTTCGCACAGGGCTGTCGCAGCGAACCGCCGTCACCGCTTCACATCGCCGCACTGCAAATTTACCACCACAAACCGTCGCTGCCACCACCCAAATCACACCACAAACCACCACCACCACTGAGGAGCATCGCATCGCCGACAGTAGTGGTGGACGACATCTGCGTAAAAGTTGGTATAAAGAGAGAGAGAGAGATGTGAGAAGCGAGAGATTTAGAGGGAGAGAGGTGAGAGGAAATTGATTAGGGTTTTATGATGGAAATTGTATATTTAATATTTATAATTTAAATATGAAACATCTGGTTTGTAAAAAGTAAACATTTTCACCTGATTTTAGAATTGAGGATTTTAATACTAGGGTTCCGTGTAATTTCCACAATAATTTAAGTAGAAAAATGGAGGTGCAAATGTAGCTTTGTTGAGACTTTTACCCCTTTTATTTGGGCTTTTATCTCTCCTTAAAACTCGTCATCTTTCCTACTAATAATTGGGCCTCACTGAAGATCCCTAACAATTTATGTTAAGAGAAAGGATCTGTATTTCTTCAATTGGGTCACTCCAGACTAATCGTTCCCGAATTTGGGTCATAGTCCATCATCTCTATTGGGCCAAAAATTCTTTAGAACAGCCTATACAGCATCATACCCTATCCCGGCCCAGTAGTACTTGATTGAATGCAGGATGAAGACACCACCACTAACACTATATACGTATATTTGTAAACAGCACATACAACCCCTGTTTGATTTAAATAAAAAATTAATTTTTTTTTTATAAATTTGATGAAATATATGGTTGAAAAATAGTAAATTTTATTAAATGTGTCGTTGACTTCAACTTACATTTTAATCAACTTTTTTTAACTGTAAGTTTGAAACAAAAATGGGGCATAGTATGAATATATAGAACAATCATGCACATATGCATTATCTTTTATATTATTGTTTACATTATGTCATGTGACAACACGTCATTGGACATTTTTAAAAAAAAACAATTTTTCCGCCCACAATTTTTTTAAGACAAAAGAGAATATCCTATCCTCGATGCAAGGAAAAAGCTGTACAAGTAGCATTATTGAGTATATAATCTATCGCCATCATAAGCATTGTCATCAGTTTCATCATTTATGTCTTGAAACTCAATGCGATGCCCTATCTAATCTTAATCGAATCTAACCTAACCTAATCTCCCTCCCCACCATCTCTCTCTCTGGCCCCTTTTCTCTCTAAACAAAGGACTAAACTTTGAAAAATATGCCATCATTATGCATTGTCCTCTCTCTCACGTTGCCTCTATGATTAGTCTCGTTGAAACAAACTCTTCATTATCCTCTTACGGCCATTCAAATATATTATGCTTATTTATTTTTTCTTTTTAGCATTATGTCAAAATGGTGCCGTTGTCTATATTACGGGCCTTGCTACTTGTACATAATTTAGTGTACATCAAGGTATCCACCCCCTCACATGGGGGTGGGGTACACTTGGAAAAAAAATATTTTTTATTCAAGTGGGTCCCTTGATGTACACCAAATTATGTACAAGTAGATAAACTCTCTTCTTACGGCCATTCAAATATATTATGCTTATTTATTTTTTCTTTTTAGCATTATATCAAAACGGTGTCGTTGTCTATATTACGGGCCTTGCTACTTGTACATAATTTAGTGTATATCAAGGTATCCACCCCCTCACATGAGGGTGGGGCACATTTGGAAAAAAAAAAATTTTTATTCAAGTGGGTCCCTTGATGTACACCAAATTATATACAAGTAGATAAACTCTCTTCTTACGGCCATTCAAATATATTATGCTTATTTATTTTTTCTTTTTAGCATTATGTCAAAACGGCGTCGTTGTCTATATTATGCCATTGCTTGAACCTCATTTTTTTCAATTTTTGTTTCAAATTTATTTTTAATCACACATTCTTCAAATAAAATAATTTTACACGTAATCCAAAAAAAAATTCCTTCTTTTAAACCACAAATTCTCAAAAAAAAAAAAAAAAATCATTATTCAAAACATCATTTTTACATAATAAT